ATATATATAATTATGAATTTTCATTCAATGGAGTTTGTTTATAAAATAAATATTAATATTTAATGTTGGTTGTGAATGAATATATATATTCAAGTATCTGCGAGTCACCTGTTATCTTTTTTGTAACAACCAACATTAAATATTAATATTTATTTTATAAACAAACTCCATTGAATGAAAATTCATAATGCATTGGCCGCCCACTGTATTTGATTAAACAAACTGATGCAAAAAGAACTTTTTCTTTTTGACCGAAGTTTCTTAATACAGATTTTATTGTAATACAAAAATGTAGAAATGTTTTACTAGTATTATTATTAAAATCCCTCTAACGATGGGTGTAAATGACAGTAAGATCTTAAGCAATGTAAATGACAGTAAGATTAAAGCAATGATGCTACTTAAAAAGGTGAATATTGCTTATTTAAAAATCATTTTTATCAAAGTAAATGTATTAGGAGCATCCAGAAAGGAAGTTTCCCTAGCTTGCCTACAAAAAGAAAACAATTTCATGGAAAAACTTCATTGTAACAGATACACAATTTTCCTACGTAATCACCACCAGAATCACAACCGTGCTTCATTAGCTGAACTTCTTAACCAAGCTCTGAGAAGTCGCAAAAGTTAAGCAGCTCAAGATATCACAGGTTCCCGGTTGGGTGACCGTCTGGGAAACCTTGACACCAAAGGCAATGAGCCCCTGGCCAAAAGGGATAAAAGGCAATGACTTATGACTTGATGTAACGCATGACTAAGTGTAAGATGAATTACTGCAAGTTCAATGTCGAAAAGGTTTGGAACATTGTTGCACATGAAATGAAATAAGAATCGTAGAAGTCTACCACCTGGTATAGACAGCCAGTGTTTGTCAGCTACCTGCAACTCTGCAATTGTGATTGGTATAATGGTGACGACAGGAATTTCTGGAAGTGTAAGAAAAGATGGTAATCACTGAGCTCAAGTTCCAAACAAGAAGGTGGATGGTCACACGGTTGGGCATACACGGCTTGGTTCAGATCTGTAGCAGTTCTGCTGGGAGAATAAATGGTTTGGTACTTCAAAGTGCTATGGTAGTATAATTTACCCACACATCAGTTCTGCTAAAATAGACGCAAAAAAAAATATTACCAAGGTAGTTCCTTTGTGCACAAATGCAATGAAAATCAGTGTGTGGGAAATACAGTAAAATCAATTCATGTGCTGATGGGTTAAGCAAACTTATTATTTTTATGCCATATGTTATGGATTTCCTTTTGGTATCTTTATTTTCTTTCTCTGTGCTCGTTTTTTCTTGCTAAGGGCATAAGGTAAGTAATGTCTTATCAATTGTGTTAAAGGTTTTTTAATAATAATTTATAGTAACCACCAAAAACATTATTCAAAGTTATTTTAACCAATTTTATAAATAATTTATTAAGAGCAAACAAAATATGACCCTATGAGAGTTGTATAAAACTGAAATTGAGCTGAAATTTGTAAATGTGAATTGAGATTTTTGTAGTGTATAATTTAAATAAAAAAATATTTAAAATTGTTTTAAGAGCCATAATTTTTACTTTCACAGAAAAACAAAGAAACATGGAAATACCAGTTATTCTATGTATTTTTATAATTAAACTTTTTTTTAGATATATTTATTCATGAATTGCAACAAAGTGTTAAAAACCGGTTTCGTTCACAATACAATACAATACTACTGTCATGTATAAATCATGACATTGACGAATATAAATTTTGCAAGAAATTATTCATTTTAGTCTTGAATTGTTGAATGTTGTTTAATTTAGTTTCGCCTGCCAGTAGAGTTCCATTCATTGTATGCTAATGGACTCTCAGTTGGGTGCTTGTTGGGTTCGTGAAGAGAGTTCATGGTTCATATAATAGTTGTTGATGACTTTAAATTAATCAATTAAAACTCTTCGAATCAGCATCCATTGCTATGTTGGTTGATGCAGCAAATCTTAAGTAATGTGCTGGGTTGTTTGGGTTTGCTGACATTTTTGTTGCTCTTCTTTGTCAGAACACCAGTAGGGGTGCCAAACTGTGAGAACCTATTCCAGGATTAGTCTAATACACTGTAGGTGATGAAATTCATCATGGATAGTGTTGAGGGTATAGCATTCATTCCCTAAATGAATAAGATAGATTTATTTTGTGTTTCCAGGTGTGTCAACTGCTATGGACATTAGTCCCTTAAGTGTAGTGCAGGTTGGGCATTGAAGAATGTGTGTGTATGTAAGGGGAGAGAATAGGACAAGTCAGAAAGAAATATAGCATGCAGTCTGTGGCATTTATTAGTTTATTGCTGGAAAATTATTCTGGAATTCATTGGTGAAACCTCTGAAAACTACCGATCAGAGCAGCTGGCTGCTGGAATTTTCCAGACAGCAGCTGAATTCGACCTAGCTATGTAGCTAGTGCCCAAAATCCTGCCACTGTCAGGACTCAAACGTTAGGACCTCCTGATAATGAGTGGTTTGCTTTAGAACTACTTCACAAGAATCCACATAGTTAATAACAAAAAATCAAAGTTTTTCAACATCATGATCACAGCAGTGTATGGCGGCACTCTATTAAGGTGACATAATGTGGCACGGTGGTCCAACATTATTGTGACTAAGTCCATTTAATTTTCTGCGGGTGTTACTTGTCCCCTGAAGAAAAATTGCATCACTGTTAAATCTGCAATCAAACTGGCCAGGTAACCAGACCACCAAAATTAATCCTGTTTTTCTCCTAATGTTCCCATCTAGGTATTCCTCAGTAGGGATGGAAAACTAGGAGGGTGCTGAGTTCTGCTGGTCCTAGTGCCCTTCGAATCAGGGCAGTGGTCTTCAACCTTTTACAACTACAGGGCCGCATGCTGTTTTGGGGGAAATACTAGCGTGCCACATTGATTTTTTAATAACAAAATAACATGATACTGTCAACACAAATAACAATATTACAATAGCTTGTAACCATTGGGTGTCACCAGGGAAACATCTGTATAGCTTCTGCGATCCTCTCTACCATTACGTCCTGCATTACGTGCAGCATGTCAGCTAACTTTGCAAATATGTCACATCATGTCTCCATGATGGATTAACTTAGCCTACTTGAACTTCAAATACCTCTGGAACACACAGGCTGTGACGCACATTAAGAATTGGAGAGGGCAGATAGTGTGGCACATGCCTGCTCCTCACTTTCGTATGAAGTTTGCTGTTAGTGTGCAATCTGCGGGAATGGTCTGCTATTGAATTAACTCTTAATTTCACTGAGGAAACATCTTATGAAGTTTATTGGAAGAATTATGCATCATCCTTTGAAAATAATATAAGAATATTATTTACCATACTTTCTATATAAGAAAAATAACTGTCTTACTCTAAAATGCTATATCAATTGTTTACTTCCTCACATGCTACTTGCATAGAAAAGAAAAAACATTGTAATGCTGTGGCAAACACTGATATTTTAACAGAAAAATTCATATTGTGGGGCCCTGATGTCTAAAGCATTAAATCTTGTTCTTATATGTAGTAATTTACTTTATCAAACTCCTTCTGAAGTCAAATCAACATTTTGATACTGAAAAATTGGTTGGCGGCAAACTGTCCGGCCATGGTCTAAACCGCTCAGGTTCAGCCAGATCAATTGAGGAATAGTATTAGTTTTGGAGAAAATCATCAGAACAGTATAGGGACTAATATTGATCATAGACCGATGGACAGACATACACACAGACTTTTGCTGTAAACCAATTTTTAGATGTTAAGGACACACAAGATGTGGATTTATAATATGTAATAGTAATATATAAAAACAAGATTCATAATAGATCTCCACAACTACATTGTTTTTTAAATGATTGAAACTATCTTTTGCAACATTACAATACTCTCTCTTTACTACATCGTTGAGAATGTAAAAAAGAAAGTAAAAACGACACATCTCGAAGTGTTATAATCTTGAAAATCCAATCGGATGGAAGAAGGTTTTCAAAGGAGATTGTGATCTTTACTATAATGGATGAGTTAACACCATCTTCTCAAGTGATTTACTTTTGCTTCGTTTTGATTTTCAGTTTTTTTGTGTTCACATCACTCTCAAAATAAATTGCCTATCAATTTTCGTACTTTGAAAACATAGTATTCCAAACACAATAATCGCTTCAATTACCTCTTCACCAAATCTCTCCATAGTAATTTACTTCAATTCATTTATTTATGTATCAATTGAATGAAGATTTTGTTTTTATATCCCTTTTCACTTTATTCTGAAAGATAATTTTGATTAATAATAATGATAAATTACCTGTTTAAAATATATAAAATGTGTTAGTTTTATGTAAGATTTTGAATTGTAATGGGTCGAGGTGAATAGGTGACAAAAAAGGAATTAAGTTAAAATAGGGCCAAATAATTGCAAAGTAAAATAAAAATTATTAAATGAAAAAGTTCTGAGACAATATGCTGAAGGATTAAAAATTATATCACAAAATCAGAGAATTCATTAATTATTATGTTTTTATTGTAAATAATCTCTTCTTTTCAGAAATGCCATCGACAATGAATTATATGGTGATGTTGAAAGAATGTGGCGATTATTTAGAGAAATTGTGGAAGGCTTAACACACATACATCAACAGGGTATGATTCACAGAGACCTTAAGCCAGTGAATATATTTTTAGATTCAAAGGACCATGTAAAAATTGGTGATTTTGGTCTCGCCACATTCAATGTTCTACCCAGGTATGTAATATCTTACCTAAAACCAGTTGCAGAGATTTATTTTGAGTTGCATGTGAATAGTGTCTCTCTTACTTTTCACATGCTCCCTGACTTACTCACATGCTCCCTGACTTATTCAACCGCTCCCTGACTTATTCACACGCTCCCTGACTTATTCACACGCTCCCTGGCTTATTCACACGCTCCCTGGCTTGTGACACGCTCTCTGACTTCTTCACGCGCTCTCTGGCTTATTCACACAGACACATTAACTTATTCACGCCCAGTCTCGCTTATACACACACCCTTTAACTTATTCACGCCCAGTCTCGCTTATACACATACCTAATCGCTCTCATTTACTCACTCATTGGCTATCATTTTCACTCTCGCTCCCTCCCTCTCTCTCGCGCTCCCTTTCTCTCTCTCTCTCTCTCTCTCTCTCCCACCATGCTCGTCGAGCATGATGATGAATGTGTAGTTTTTGTCAAATCTAATTTACTTAACGGTGAGGGTGAGGGACATGCAATATCGATATTGATAATTATAACACATTACATAGAAACCACATTCATCAGGTGTCAGTTTCAACAGCTCATTACATGAAATCCATATCAAAAACATGGGCTTTAATTCCCAACACAATGCAAGATGACAATAAATATTTAAAATTGAGACACAAATTTAAGTTCAAATGAAATGTTTTCTTCTGCATACATCATATTTCTGTTTCTATAAGTAATCAATGCAAAAATTAGCTAACACGCATTCCATTTGGCTTCAGAATTTTTGGAACCAACTAGTCACCTATGCCTCTCAGTTCTTTAGTTGTACTGTATCAACAACGTGTTGTTATTTTCTGTAATATTGAGAGAGCCTATGACACCTGAATGTATGGTATTCTTTGCACTTTGAGGACTGTTGGAAAAGTATCTGACCTCTGTCCGTGAAAAGAAAAACTTGACAAACCTAATCTCCCTCAAAGAACTTATCTTGGGACTTCACACCCTTCTCCCAGCAGTGCCGCCATTTTTGCAAGCATTCTGAGAAAGCGTCTTTCAGAATGAAGCATAGTTCAGCTGTAATTGAAGCCATTCTGTCCTCTCTGGTCTGAAATTGTGTTCTATTCAATGACCTCTTGAATTTGGGGAATAGCCGGAAGTCGCAGAGGGTCATATCAGGAGAATAGGGAGCCTGTTGAATTACAGGAGTCTATTTTTTGTTGTTGTGTGTGTGTGTATGTATGTTTGTGTGTGTGTTTTTACTCCACCAAAAAAAGTGTGAGAAATGTGCTAGAGCATTGTCGTGATGGAGGCGCAAATTTCCTGTTTATCAAAACTTCAGGCCCTTGCACTGCATAGCATCACATAGGCAACAGAGGACATCGTTATAGTACTCTTTGGTAATAGTTTGACACCGGTGTACCTCACCACGGGACTCAAAGAAAGCTGTCAGCACCACTTTGACATTGCTATGCACTTGGCAATCGTTCTTTGGTTTTGGTATCGTAGAATGCTTCCAGTGTGGCGACTGGGATTTGGTTTCCGACTAGTACTCCTACATCCAGGACTCATCACCAGTTGTTATGAAGTTCATGAAGTCAGGGTCACTGTTTGTGGAGTCTAGGATGTCCTGTGAGACTTAAACACGAAGTTGCTTTTGCTCCACCATACAATGAAAAATTGACGAGAGCATTACACACTACATCACTCAAATGCTGCTTGCCAGTAAAAGACGGGAAAAAATTCACGCAAGCACACAAGGGTTCAAGGTTTGCTCATGCAAGCGCGCTTGATGCAAATCCATCAAATTTGTGCAAAAAAAAAAAAAAAAAATCAGATATTTTTCTAACAGACCTCTCATATTTTTGAAGGCTCAGAATGACTGTCCTTGTTCCTGATAGATTTCCTGTCATCAATGTTTTTCTGCATCCATCTTGAGGGAAAACTGTTTCCACTAAAAATGTGTGAGAGCAAATTGTGTTCCTTGCTTGTCCTGCATGTGCACATGAGAAACTTTTTTCTTGTGAAATATTTGCAAATGGAATGAGCTAGTTTTGATAGCAAATGCTGCATGTTGAAAGTGATCAAAGTGCTGAACAGATTAAGAAAATAGTTCTTTAGGAAAATAGGTATGTAATAAGTTTGAATGATATTTCTTCTCTTTACTATCATGCTTTTAACCCATCATTTTTAAGTGTGCATTGGTACAGCTAGTATTGGATTATATCAATGATTATCATGTTACTATATTTACAAATAATAGAAAAGATATTTTTTTAAGAAGTAAAGAGTTTGGTAGTTAGTTATGGAGAAGAATACTATTATGATATTAACAAAGCAAATGTCATTAGATGAATGTTCCCAAAGAAAACTTAACTGAATAATCAAAGAATGTGGAAAACTGCATGATGGTCTTGCATTTGGTGTTGCTAAATGAAATTACCATAAGGGAGATAAGAATTATAATTTTGTTATTAAGAATTTCTGTTGTTAAGAATTACAATGTTACAAATTCTTCAAAAAAATGGTTTCAGACCTGGTAACATTCCTACAAAAGAATCTCCTTCCTCTGTAACCATCACTACGAAATATGCTGACCCCCAGTCTTTTGGCAATGAGATGGGGGATCTGTCTCTGACTGGTCAAGTGGGTACTGCTCTTTATGTTGCCCCAGAGTTGACATGTACAACTGGAAGGACTGTCTACAGTCAGGTGATACAGTTTGTATTGTTAATTTTTATTGTTGTATGTATTGCCCCAAAAAGATTGGATGTTCAAAAAAATTGAAATCATTGGTTAAGCAGATAAATAAAAACCTTCAATTTATCAGAAGAGTCTATGAGTTCAAAAGTTAATTCTCTCACAAACTTGGTATAGTCAGTCCACAACAATTATAACTGAAAAACATTCAGTTTGTAAAGAAATAATTTTAAAATTTTTGTGGAATCATTTTCGTATTATAATGCTACTTGTTTGTATTTCAGAAGGTTGATATATATAGTTTGGGTATCATATTTTTTGAAATGTGTTCTCCACCATGGGAAACTGCTATGGAGAGAGTCAAAGTATTAGCTAATTTGCGTACAAAAGATATTTTATTACCAGAAGATTTTAATGATAAGCAAAAAGTGGACATTATTCATTGGCTACTTGATCATGACCCAAGTCAACGTCCAACATCTCTAGAACTACTTCAGTCTGATTATGTTCCTCCTCCTCAAGTAGAGGAAGCGTCACTTCAGGAAATAGTTCGTCACACATTGTCAGAACCTCAAAGCAAAACGTATAAGTATCTAATTGCTTCCTGTTTTAAACAGGTAGGTATTTCTTTGTTCTACAATTTTTTATCTGTTGTCTAAAAAGAACACACATGAATAACTTTAGATGTATAAATGGAAAATAATTAGTAATAGTGAGGATGTTGATAATAACACTTATTTGTTGATAACAACACTTATTTGATGATAACAACACTTATTTGATGATAACAACACTTATTTGGTGACAACAACACTTATTTGGTGATAACAACACTTATTTGGTGATAACAACACTTATTTGATGATAACAACACTTATTTGATGATAACAACACTTATTTGTTGATAACAACACTTATTTGTTAATAACAACACTTATTTGTTGATAACAACACTTATTTGTTGATAACAACACTTATTTGTTGATAACAACACTTATTTGAAGAAAAAGAAAACAGGTATCTCAGTATATTTTCCCTTATGTTGAATTTTAATTTTCAGGAAACGGACTCGGCTGCTGATATAACTTATGATATGAACTTGACTCGTAATATCTGTGTTCCTGTAACACAGTTTTTATTGCTCCAAAATTTTGCCAAAGAAACAGCTATACAGGTTTTTCAGAGACATGGTGCTATTTGTTTACCTACCTCACTACTGATGCCAAAGAATCATATCTATAATTATGTTGAGTCTTCAGTGAATCTCATGACTCATTCTGGTGCTATTGTGACTCTCCCTCATGATCTGAGAGTCTCATTTGCAAGACACATTGCTCATAACAGCATTACTAATGTGAAAAGGTATGCTTTAGATCGAGTTTACAGAGAGAAGAAACTGTTTGGTTTTCATCCTAGAGAGTTATATGAATGTGCTTTTGACATCGTTTCATCTCAGTCTGGTGAGTAATATATTAATACTGTGAGAATATTATTACATACTCTTAGTGGTAAGGAATATTTAAATAGACTCTCTTCTAATGTTTTTAACACTTTCACTGTCAGGCACTCCGGTAGTCATTTAAACCTCCTATGCCAGACATATTTGATGTGTAGGTGAGATTTCACTGGATAGGATATAAATTCTCATATCTTGGGAACTATCTTGCATATTTTTTAAATTTTCAGGACATACTTAATAGGTTTATAGGGTATGATGTCTTGTGTAACAATCACCAGGGTGCAGAGATGTATTGCAAGCAATGCACAGTAATTTTGCGGAAATTTTTTTTTTTTCCTTTTCTTTTCTTTTTCATATCAGCAGCAGCCATTTGAAGTGATGCAATTGTTTTCATCCACCTACTTCGCCAAGTTCTGAATTATTAACACTATTGTCACAGAACATCTTATTTTCGTCATCGCAAATATTTCGCCTACTTAGAATTTTCTCAGTACGTAGAAATCTATAGCTGCCAGCACTCGTACAGGCAACCATTTTCTCAGAGATTTTGTTATGACCAAAGAAACGTATATCAATTAAATATATTATTATCCAGAGATCACTGTTTCACGTTTCTGCTACATTGGTATTAAAATCTCTGCATTTGAATGCCATCTCGTGGAGATCTCGCGCATTATGTGAATGCTTGTGCTATACACGTTGATCGATGTGCTTGGCAGTGGCAGAGCAAAAAATTAAAAAAGTCCATCGACAGTTTGGCAGTGAAAGTGTTAGTCTTTTACATAGATTTTCATTTTCCTAATACAAGAGAATTTTTAAGGATACGCTTCTTGTAGAAAATAGACTAAAAACAAAACCAAGAAACTAGGTTTTTTGTTCATTTTAGTTATGTAATATGCTTTGCTTAGTCATGATATTGTTCTAAACTTGTGTAAAATGTTTTAGGATCCCTCTTGCATGAAGCAGAAGTACTTTCAGTTGTCTGGGAATTTCTATGTGAATTCAAAAGTCTTCGTGATATATCATTTATAATTCGTTTCAATCACACATCATTGGTAAAGGCTGTTCTACTTTATCTAGGAATTGAAGAATCAAAACATGATGAAATTTATCCTGTTCTTAGTCAAGCAAGAGTAAGTTTAGAATTTAATTTTTCCAATAAACTTCTCTTATTGGTAGCAATAATGTACTTAGTAGCAAGTCTGCAACTGAATTTTTTTAAACCATGAGCTCATAAATCAAGTCCAAATGATTATGTAATTTCGACTTTACTGAAATACCTGGATCAGAGCCAAATACTACCAGGATGAGAGTTCTAGAGGCCATGATTCTGAATTGCTTTAATCCGTCATCTCTGTGGTTTTTCACTGTTGGCTATGCCAACAGATGCCAAAGTAATGCCTTAAATAATGGATCACAGACTGCACAATCCTTCCATGACCCCCCCCCCATTGACCAGTTATGTAGATATAATTAATAAGTCAGAAATCGGGGATGCATCTCCTGTTGAGGTGGATTGATCCACGTTCTCACTAGAGGATGCAGTGATGGCTCTTGTGTGTTCTTTTCTCCATCTTATATTCTCTTCCTTTACATTTCATATGTCATCTAAATACTTTTTATCCCCTTTTCTTCATTGACTTTCTCGTTATGCTATATACCCTCCAAAGTGTTTGCCATGCATGGTGACCTATATCAGAGGGAATGTGTACTCGCAATGGAGAAATCAGTTTGTTTTAGATTTTCTTTCCTGATGCTACACACCATATAGCATGTACGTTTTTACATATTTAATGGAACATTTGCCATGCCCTAATGCACTGCAGGCAGTGTGGACACATCCAGAGTGTAAAAGTGTGGAATACATCACAATAGTGAAGAGGGGGAGGGCCAAGCCCGAAGGTGCAGATTCAGAGGGTAGGTGCCATAGTGGCAGCAGATGTGTTGCATGACTGTGTGATTGCGATCATGGGGTGGCAATGTAGTCACTGTGAGCCTATAAAGGTGGGTGGCCCCTGCAAAAGGGGACCATGTTCCACAAACATCTGTTGCGAGGATGCAGAGTGCATGGGAGGATGCAAGCTTGCAGGTATGAGCGCCAGGCTCATGTAGAACAGTGTGTTCAGTAGTTAGCGGATGCAAACGGGGAGCAAATGCTCCAACAGTAAATGGTATGGCTCATATATATTATGTAAATAAAGTGTATATATAACAAAGCCATCTTTTCTGTGATTTCTGCAACCCACAACGTCACAACACTGATTGACCTCGACCTGTTCTAGATTGGCAGTCAGGAGCTATTCCACTTTCAAGACTATGGGCTATGTGCTTTAGTCTGTTAAAGGCAAACTTACAAAATATTAAAAGAAAATTGTTTCCTGACAAATACTTTCTGTCCAAAAACTTATTGCACCTCATTTCATACTTTTTGTTTTTTGTTAATACCAAGGTATTGATTTAATGTGTAAAAATAAAGTAACAACTTTTTTGTTGTGAGAATTGTTGTATTTAACTGCCTGCTTTTGCATAGTCACCACAGATCCAAAACAGAAAATATCTGAGTATCCGCTAAGGTGACCCATAGCTAAAGGGTAAGTTTCTGAAAATTAGAATTTTACTGATCCCACCTTCCTATTCTAAATTCAAAAGGAAGGATATGGGGAAAAAGCACTATCTGATCTGTATAAAATCAGCTCAATCATCCTACTAAGTGAATTCCTAGGCCTTACATTTGGAATATGGTACCGTAATTTGGGGTGAATAGGATCAGATATGGGGAAATTTTTTGAAAAGTGCTTAATAAATTCCCATCTGAATATAAATCCTAAATTAAAAATACCACTTCTGACGTGAATTTTTGCTCGAAATTATGACAACAGTGGATATTTGTCAGCGTGGTAAAAATGCTCAGGAGCACATTGACATTGTGTTGTCATCAGAGCATATTATTTCACAGTCTCAAAATCTTTATCTGCATCACAAAATAGACCAAGTGTTAAGTATCTATGTACCTGTTAAGAGTGTGATATGGTTGAGTGTGTTTAGTTTTTTCCTAATAGATGTTTAAAATTTATCATTTTGTGACTGAAGTAGGCTCTGGAGTGAATAGGAGTACTGTATTTTTGTGTTGCAGTGGACTTCTCATCAAGGTTAAACATTCCATAAAGTCCCCAGGCTAAACATTCCATTCATTCATAAGAGGACTCCAGAAGAATCGGAATGAGCAATCAAAGCCATCAAGAACGATATCAGTATGAGAGAAGCTTCCAAAGTTTATCAGAATCCCTTCTCTGATCGACACTGCCATTAAAACAAGAGACCAAAAGAACAACGAACAGCCCTCTCGAAGGATGAGGAAGGAAATATTACATCAAAAGGGCAAGTGCAGCAATTTCTGAAAATGTTCTACGAGAATACTTCTACAATTTGCAAATGGAAATCGATGGAGTGCCAGCTTACAACATCAATTTTCGATAAGATCAATTTACCTGACAATTCAAGAAGAAATAATGTTATCATGAAAAGGAGCTGCAAATATAATGAACACTTTGAAATCTGCTACATCCACCTTGTTTGCTGCAGCTGCTAATGACACCAAGTTACTGACCTATGTAGTGTACAAATCAAAACATTTATACATCTCCTGGATTGTGGGTTCTCCAAAGAGAACACATTTTAATAGAACATTTACTTTGATAGTGAGTGTTTTGATCATTGGCTTGTAAGGTGTTTATACCATATTGTCATAAGTTGGAAGGCCTTAAATTTCTCATTGGTGATAATATTTCAACCCACCTTTCTGTGACCTGTATTCAGTTGTGCCAAGAGAACAATATCAAAATGGTATGGTATTTTTGGCCTCAAATTCTTTATACCTTACACAAGAACTTGATTTATCATCTTGTTCAACCCACAGAGCAGAAGTGGAGAGCAATCCCGATCAAGTGGAAGATGGGACCTGAGATAAGGAAGCTCTCTCTGCTCAAGGATAAATTCCCAAAGACGTGTGGCTAAAATCATGTATAAGATTGAAGTTAATGCTTATGATAAGATAAGAGCAGGTTTCATTAAATATGGAATTCTGCCCTTTTAATCTATAGAAAGTGATTGAACATGTGCCAAGAGTTGAGGCTCTAGTTACGTCTTACCTACTCTGACTGATGACATTCTAATCTCACTTTTGCAGGAATTGAGAGGAACTCATGAGCTTAGATCTTCACAAAAACCATGCTATTGGTCCCATTATCTCCTTGTTTAATAAATCGGAAAATTCTTATGTGCAATTCTGTTTACCTCAACTTGCAGGCCAATAGGATTAAGGGTTAAAAACAGAATGAAACCCTTCAGGGTAATAATTGGAAATAAAAGAAATGGTTGTTTTGAAAATAGAGATCAAGACCTAAACACAGACTGGTTTGAATTTGTTTATAACAATTCATCTTGCAAAATTCACCATTCAACCTAGAAAGTTATCCTATTCATCCCAACTTACAGAATGTGCAAAAATAATTCCTTTAAAAACTAATATATTATTCTCTATATCAAACATTTTCTTTTTTCCTCTGAAAGTAATTTGTTTGACACGTTCAGTTACAGCAATTATTTTAAAATATTTTTAATCAAATAACTCAAGAGTTCATTCAAAAATTCCTGAAATAACATGAAAAAATTTTTTTTTATTACTTTTATAGATACTTTTTTAGAAATATTACTTTTTTATTAATGCATGCATCTATAAAAGAAACGCATGCCTATTTCCATAGCTGTATAATCAAAATCTAGTTTGAACAAATATACATGGAGCATTATTGTTTCCTAAGAGAGGCTTTAGTTGCAGTGGGATATATTTATGTTCTTTAGCAATGTTCTTTAAAACAAATTATTTGCCAGCTTGACATCTCATGTGAGAATATTATTTTAATTCTGAAAGAGTTGGACACCTTTTACTGCAACATCAATCACAACTACTACCTTCTCAAGTTATTGAATTCCATGTAATTGGTATCATCCTCCTTCCATGTTGCAAGGTCGTTATTGACAAGATAGGTACTGGTAGATTGTCTCGTGAAGAAATTTTGAGTACCAGGTGTTACAAAAGACAAAAACTTGGTGTTTGCAAAGTAAAAAAAATATTTTGAACCAGAAGTACCTCTTTGGTTAACATTTTTCTTTCCCTTCACCTTTGTCTGCTTTCAGCATAACTTGAGCCATTTTTGCTGTAAACACTGCTATTGTATCTGTGCCCTAATAATTAACCATGTAATAATGTGTTAAGAATTGATATTATATTACCTTTCACTGCTTATCCATTGACAAATGATTTACAATACATCTAAGTAATCTGTAATGTATCTAAAATATAACTAATGGTAAATATTTTACATCATACGTATTTTACTCTGATGCAAATGATCTTGTATCCAAAATCAGATATAAAGTATTGAATAGTTTTGTCATTTAAAAAGGGCCAGTAGAGACACCTTTTTCTTCTGTGGTACATTCAGAAATAATAATAATAATAATAATAATAATAATAATAATAATAATAACAACAACACAAAACAACAACAACAACAACAACAACAGACAACAAAACAACAACAAAATACAACAACAACAACAACAACAACAACCAAACAACAACAACAACAAACAACACAACAACAACAACAACAACACACAACAAACAACAACAACAAACAACAACAACAACAAACAACAACAACAAACAACAACAACAACACAACAACAACATCAACATCAACATCAACATCAACCATCAACAGGGTTGCAACATCAACACCAACATTCAACATAACATCAAACGATTCAACATACTCAACATCAACCATCAACAGCAACATCACATCAACATTCAACATTCAACATCAAACATCAACATCAACAATCAACGATCAACATCAACTCAACATCAACATCAACATCAAACATCAACATTCACATCAATCAAACATCAACATCGACATCACAGTCACATCAAACATCAACATTCAACATCAACATCAACATCAACATCAACATCAACATCAACATCATTTAGTTGCTTATATTAACACGTTATTACAAGTCTTGAAGAATCATTATTCATAAGTAAACATTCAGTATTCTTTCTCTAACAGTTTTCTTTTTTTTTTAATACAACTGGAATATTCACAATTATTTACAGTTTATATTGGTAATAGAAATTACCATCTAAACCTGAATTGCTTGTCCTAAGTATATGAAATAACTTTTCTTAAAGTAAAGAATATATAGGTATTGTAACATTGCTCTCTCTCTATCTTGTGTTAATGCCTTTAATTTGAGTTTTGAATTTATTTTTGCTTAAATCCTTAATATGGTTAGGTAGTTAATTGTAGAGTATTGCAACATTCCGATAAGGATCTTTCTGTGAGGAGGATTTTGCAGAGTTCATCCTGTGAGGGTTTTTTTTCCTCTTGTATTGTATTGATATTCATATTTGTTTTTAATAAGGTGACGGTTATTGTTTTTCATGAGAATAATTACCCTATATGCATAAATTGCAGCAACAGACATTATTTGTATTTTTTATACAAATTTTTACAAGATTGGTTAGGATGCAGCTGACATATGTATCTAAGAGCTTGTTTCTGTATTATCATAACCCTGTCCATGTTCCCTATACTGGTTGCTCCCCATATCTATATACCATACTGAATGTTAGGGTTTAAAATGCCATAGTATGTGGTAATGAGCATTTTTCACTGTCATATACTTTGACTTTGAGAGATTTCGTAGTAAGTAATTGTTAAAATTAATTTTTTGTATATGACATCAATGTGTTCATTTTATGTTAATATAATAATATATCTATATATTACAATGTAGTGTGAATCCCTGAAATAAAAGAAATCAGTGTTACAATAATGATTAGAATCTTAATAATAATTATAACACATTTTAGCATCCAGATCTTCATTGATGATCATTGATCATGAAATGTACACTAATAATGTGAATCAAGTAACTTTGTAAACCTGTTTTCATGTCATGAATTGTATTTTGTATTTTCATTTCTAGGTCGAAAAATATTCAAAATTGGAGAAGAAAGAAGCACGTGTTGTACCTCTATTAAAATTAGGACTGTCGGAAAAGACTGTGGAGACTCTGTACACATTTATGGAAAGTGAGACTCCTATAACAAAAATTTCTGATGCATTTCGTTTTCTTATCAAAAGGAAAGGTCCAGTTTCTACACTTGCAAAACAGGCCCTTGAAGATTTAGAACAAATTGCTTCTTACACAGCTGAATTGGGTGTAAAGGTACAATTATGTTTTGTTTTGTTGTGTTTTTGTTTTAACTGATGGTAGATGAGTGAATGTTCATTATGATTATTTTTGCTCCAGTGTCCTATGGTCATAACACTAGGTATGCTCTACAATATTAACTTGTATTCGGGAATGATGTGTCAGTTTGTATGTGAGTTGAAGAAGAAACGGAGGAAAGTTGGTATCGATGTAATAGCAGCTGGTGGTCGTTATGATTCTCTAATTGCTATGTTTAGGTGAGTAGAGAACTTCAAGCAAATTAGAAATATTTCCACAAAATGAATAAATTTTAATGGGTTTTTATGGGAATTGGTAGGGGGTTTTGTGGGCCCAGAATCTTACAGAGAATACTTTTACTTTGCTTTTTATTTATATATTCTCATTAATCACCTTATAAATACTGATTAATTATTCTCGGTAATCAAATGGAATACCCCTGCTTGTGAATTGCATACAAATATGGATGAACTGTTTGATATTCCATTGTCTAGTACATATTATTATTGTTATAATAATAATAATAATAATAATAATAATATTATTATTATTAATTCCCTGGTATTGAGGATTTGTTGTTTAACAAATAGCAACCCAAATATCAACATGTTCTTATCTCTGTATACTTTTAATTGTTTGTTAAAACGTTTATTGTTAAATGAGATTCATTTATTCTATCTGTCGTATTGTACATTTATTGATTCCTTTATTTTGTAACTTACATATTATTTGTATTATCTTTGTATATATTGGGCTATTGCCTGTTACTCATATACATAAATAAACAAAAAATAGTTTTAAAAAATTTGTTGATTTTTAACACAGAGAAACAGTTGAAGATAGCATTTTAAAAGTCAATTTATCAGAAATAAATTAACCACATTTTACTGAAATGAATTTTTAAGGATCAACAATATTGTATGGATCGATTGTAATAATAATTGTTATTATCATTATATTGTACTTAATTATTAAAGTGTTTTTATTTATTTATTTTTGGTTGCTCTATAACTACATCAGTGAAGTTTTTTGATCATAAATGTACTTTATTAATGAAATAGGTATTTGTTATCTTGTAGACTCCATTTGATACTGTAAAATATTTGTTTATTTAAGGCAAAGACTGGAGGATGCAGGAATGCAATTAAGGGAAGTGAAGCAGTCAGCAATTGGTGTCAGCATTGCCCTGGATAAAATAATACTGGCATTACAAGAAGAATCTCTTCCTGCAATGTTAGACGCTGTTGTATGCTCGTTAGGAAATAATCCAATGCTCAAGGAGAAGGCTACATTGGTTCGGGATATGTGGGCTTCAGGCATTCGAACACTTTTGATGGAAGGCGTGCAGGTAATCTACCTTTTTATTGTATGGCTGTATTTGGAAAATTCATTTCAATTCATTTGCTCAAATTTTGGTATGCTTTCCTTCCAAGATAACCTGTTAGCCATTATTTACTTGTCATACACTCAACCCTAAAGGTTTTCAAATTTATTTTTCCTGGCATACAGATTCATAAGGAAAAAAGTTACTGTGCATCCCTCACCTAAAAGTCTTTATTTTAAACAGAACTGCTTAATGAATAATGAGTTTCCAGTACTTATAATTTTACAAGAAAATGTGTAATGGGTTGTGAGAATTAAACGTTTTGTGTGTGTTTGTGTTCTTGAAAGGAGTATAAAATTTTTTTCCCCTCCTATTTCCATTAACTTTATTAGTCATTCTTTTTCAAAGGAAATAGAGAATATAAAATGATTAACATGTTCCACTTCAACAATATTTATGATGTTAATAGTAAAGGCCACTCCAAATCTCATGATTATTAAAGAACATGGGAATGCTAATAATTGGGCACTTGCTTCAAAGCATTTTCTCTGGAGAAAAGTGAGTATACTCAACGATATTGAGCAAAAGCTCCATTTCATATGAAGAAAAACTTCTGTATAATGGCACAGACTTTCTCGCACTAGTTAGTTTTCTATTCTTTCTACTCTTGACCAGCTTTTCCCATAGGCGTCATTGTCTTGTTAGCAGTTTCCTTTCATCACCCGAAAAACAAACATTTTTCACATTTTCATAATTACTCGGCTCCGTTATGCTAGAACTGGAACTTAAGAAGTATTCATTGCACGTCGTAACTAGATAGCCGTGGTAGATAATTGTGGGGGTAAGGCCTGAGCTCTTTGGAGGGTAGATTCGCTGGTTCGAGTTGGGAACTGTTATTTGTAACAATTCTTTGTTGCTGCAGGAAATAATTGATAGTTATAGAAAAATTATTGAAAACCATTTGAAGCAACTCTAATAGCAAATACTATTAATCAAAATAAATAAACTGGAAATGTCTGTACGTGATTTTCATATTTTTAACTTTTAAACAATTTTTCACATCTCTTATGGGATTTTTAAAATGTATGTCTTGTCAAATCAATTGTCTTTAGGCGCTTCTATAATAGTTATAAGTGCCAATTCTGTGTATAACCCGGGTGGCCGAAGTGGTTAAATGTCTTTTTCGGACTCAGCATTTCAGAGGGAAGGGCTGTTGGTTCAAGCCTGGCTCGGGGGTAATTATTTGTCACTGTTGCCGCAGAAAACTATTGAGAATTTCAGAAACTTTATTGAAGATTATTTGAACCAATTCTACTCGCATATACAATCTTCTAAGATTCTAAATAAACTGGAAGTGTCTGTAGTATGTCATTTTGAGATTGTCATCATGAAAAATATGTGCTTTGGCAGCTCTACTACTTTATTTATTATTTATCCTTTATAAAAATTGAAGTAATAAAACTCTTCTTCCAAATCTTGTGGAGGACTCCTTGCAAAGATTTCGCAAACAAAAAGTGCTGAATAGGTGTAAGATTTGCTTTACAGTTAATCAATATAGAAATTTCTATATTATCAATATCAGTGCATTTACAATCTAATTCAAACTCATTAGAAGTTACATCGTCATTATAAGTATATACAGATTCAAAATATGAAGCAAAAATATTTAGAATTTGTTGTGGTGAATTGGTGTGATAGTCCTCACAATACATAAAATATGGCAACTCTGTAATATTCCTTTTAGCGTTTGCTTATGTCCAGAATGATGTAATATCTTAACTCGTAGAGGAATGAATTTTAGCTAAATAGTTTGAGTAGTCGTCAAACTGTTCAACTTTGCAATTTTTTTTCCAAGAGCAGAGAAACAAAGGTAATCCTCATTATTCAATGACGTTTTGTATTTGGAATTAGCACAAGCCTTCAGTCGAAGTATGCGCTTCAATTGAGTAGAATACCAAGAGGGAAAATCGGAGGATGATAACAATTTTTTTAGATACATGGTTTTCTAAGATTTTATACAAATTTAAGTGGAAAAAACCTATTTTTTGTCCACACTACAACATTTCCCTTAAAAAATATAAATAAATAAGAATTTCTTATTCCATTAGATTTTCTGTTTCATGTGA